TCTTTTAAAAGCAAGTGAAACAGCAAGTGCAGCAGTCTCACCTTTTCTCTTGAAACAAAGCCAACAAAATATGAAACTGTGTTCTTGAGTGCTTATTTTTGCTCTCTTTTTCTAGCCTATGGCAAGGAGCTCAACAAAAAGGAAATAATCACTTTTAGAAGGCATCACTGAGACAGTGTGTGAAAACTGACCGAGACGGAACGCCCTGCTCCTTTCTCCACACCTGCACCAATGTTCCTCTGTTCAGAGGACTTTGACCAGAGAGCAATGCATTGCAGCAGCACTCCAGCTGCTGCTGCTGAGATAGCATTTTTACATGCAGGATGCCCACGATAGCCGTTGAGGTCTTTCACCGTTCTTTTTATTAAAAGTGGTTATAGTCTTAAATTTAGGGAAAGCCTGCTTTGGGGTGTACTATCCAAGTACTTCCTCTTGCATTTTCCCAGATGAAAGTACTAACATCGGTATGACCTGTTCCTGCTCTGTATGCAAGAACCAGGCTTAGTTGGTGGATTTAAATAATGCAGGCACCTTAGTGGTTATTGTTAGGCTCATGCTGTTAGGTCATCCAGCCTTACTCATCTGCAGTGTTTCTTCAGTTCTCAAGTACCTTCATTTCTCCTAATGGACCTATTTGAGAAACTCAGCATTATCCAGCCTCAGTAGGACTCTTACAACGTTGCACCAAATCATGACCAATGAGCATCCAGCTAAAATCACCTCACCCTCCTTTGGGTGTTGGTTTGAATAAACAAATGATGATTGCTTCCTAGAAGCTTTTGACAAAGAATATCATCATTAGTGAGGTAACTGCTTAAAAGCAGGTAAGGCAGGACTCCATTCTACCACACCCTGTGTTCTCATGTACCTGGAACTCTTTTAAATCTCCTGCAACCTTTGAAGAGAAGACAAAGGCCCCACTTCAGTAGCTCTGAACCTTCCAGGGAAGGTCCACTAACAAAAATTACTGATGGAAAGCTTATATACTTCAGAGAGAATGTAGGACTTGTTCAGAACCTAGATTAAAAACACATCTGTTATTGTTTATTCATCAGGATTCCCAGCTCTTTGGCATGAGCAATGCAAAAAACCATTTTCTCCTCATTATACACAGTGCTGTCTTATTCTAACACTTACAAGAAGCATCCTTTATTACTAAGAATCATTTAACCATTTAATAACTTAGAAAAAAAAAAAAAAAAAAAAAAAAAAACGTTTTTTTTCATCATGGAAAATAACCATTATAAAACTGACTGTCCTCAAGATTTTTTTTTCCGGTCCTCACTCATCCATGGATGTGATATGATGTAACCTCAAGTTAAATATCAACCAAACATTTTGCTGTACTACAGGAACACGTTTGATATAATCAGCAGAATAAGGAAGCAGAAAACCCAGTTGGACCCCAGACACTTGCTGATCGCTTTTCAAGATATTCTCCCTAAATAACTTTCATAAAATTGTAAACCTACGCTGACAGCATCTGAGCACTGGCTCAGTATGGCTAAGCATTTTATGTGGTCCAAGGTCCAGATCCATCTGACTGTCCATCCAGCTAAGTGGAAACCATTGAGCAGTCTTTGGATTGAGCTAATATTTACAGCATTATTAAGTCAAATTCATCTTGGATAGCACTCTAGCTGAGGGAGGGCTTGACTATACATGCCCCTTTTGCATACGTCTTCAACAAAATTCAAAACACTGCAGGATTATATTCCAACTACTTTTCAGCCCTAAGACATCTTAAATACTTTGTTTACTACAAATTAAAAAGAAATTTATTATAAATATATGTATTATTAAAATTGATGATATAAATAACCTGATAACTGCTCATCCCTTATGCATAACATGCCTGTAAATGAATTTGCATTTGTTTTGCAGCTCCTTTTACACTTTGTATTCTAGTATTCCTTGATAAGCATTATCTTTTATAGAAAGGAAAAGAAAGCATAAACTGAAAAACTCTCCTCACAATGCCCTTTTCTGTCTTGTTCAATGACCTTTGACCATATAGCTCCTATGTGATCAGACTCAGCAATCATTTAAGAGCTAAATCCTGCAAAGGATGGTCACAGAAATAAGAATTTTACATTAGAGGCTGAAAAGCAGTAACCTGGCTATCCATGAACCTAAGATTCACAAAATCAGGTTGATAATGTAATATTTGGAAAATGCAGGTATGACATGTGATGGCACTAAGGTTTACATACAATACTTTCATCCATCTGGACAAACACAGTATCATGTTCCAGATCTCATAGATTTAAGATGTCAATAAAAGTACAGAGAAGAATCATTTCAGTACCTCTGGTTTATTTTCAAAGTATTTAATACAACACCCACCCTCCAACTTCTTCTTTTAGGAAATGTAAAACCATGATTTGACTTAAGGGAAGTCTGAAGCAGTGCTCAGTACAGAAATATGAATTAACTTTTATTCCTTGGCTTTTATATCCAGTAAGAGAGGCAGAGGAAATGTTTTAACAGTTGAGTGCCTATACATCAAGAGACTGGATAGATTCATTTCCTGTATACGCAAAAATTCACTCTTTGAAAGAGTGAAATATCAAGACTTCTGGATACAGAAATGAAGAAGTGATAGGAGGAGCTAGGGAAGGTAAAAACACTGAAAACACTAGAAAATATTGCTCTACATGGCCTTACTCAAAGAGCAAAGGATTCAAAACAATGCCATATCTCACTTGAAGGGTGGAAAGGACAGTGCAGAAGAGAACAATAATACTAAAATGAAGATAGTGAATCTATTCCACAGGATGAAAATGCAATTTACACAATGTTTTGTTTACTTAAAGAAAAATCTATGTATTTCCTTGAAAAATAGATTAGTCTACCAATGTATCTGATAACCCTGAGGATCTGAGAGGGTGGATTTAATATATGAATAATTTTTTATCTTTGTAATTTAAGACTAAAGCCATTGATTTGCATACTGCTATACTAATGCAAAGGGGTGAGAATCACAGCACAAGACAGTAAAGCATAAATTCACAAATGTGTAAGTTACTTTAGTAAGACACTTTACTATCTGAATGTTGCTATCTGGATATAACAACACTTACTAAAAATTAACATGAAAATTAGGATAGTTTCTGCTCATATCTTCACTTTCATTTTGAAATAAAAGATCAAATATATTTGAACCATACTTTTTTTTTATAATGAGTTTCTCATATAACAAAGCCTCCTTTCATAGTTCAGTACTGTGGAGACAGTAACATAAACTTTCATTTAATGAGATGTTCATAGTTCACATAGGAAGAGCTTCAGCGCAGTCCTTGTTAATTTACAAAACAGTACAAACAATTTTGATTAGAGTATACATAGAAACAGTTCTCCGAGTAGACAGAAATTAAAACAGATCTTTAGAACACTTACTGTGGGAAGGGGGAAGGAGTAAGGACAATTCTGATTCTATGTGTGTGGTTGCTTTGGGTTTTCGTTTCTGATAGGAATATGTAAACTTTTTCTGTCATCTGAACTTAACAGTCCTAGAAGACACAAGGGACAATAAATGCCTTTGCTTACATCTCAATTAAAGGATTTCTAGATGGTGTTGTTACATTGACTAAAAGGGTCCAGGCCTTAAATCAGTGCACTTGAGAAGTTCTCATTCATGCCAACAGGATTTTTGCTTGACTGTACCAAACCCTTCCAAAGTTCTTTGATCAGTAACTCTTACAGTATTGATTAAATTAGCGAACAAGTAATATCTAGATTGTTGTAACTACATTTTGTTTTCCCACACCACTTCTTGTGGTTGGCCTCACACTCAACACCTCTAATATGTAAGAAGTAGCCCTACAGATGGGTCTGGTCACACAGCATGATTCTTGTGTAATGTTTTTTAGTGCTATAACTGTGTTACAGTGCAACACATCATGCCAAGAAATGACACAGTGCTTCTAGCTCTGCTATCAGCACGGCTAGTACATAAATTGTTATCAGAGTTACAGTCACCTGTGCAGTTAACACACTTTGCTTTTTAAAGAGAAGAAGGTACAAAAATAATAATAGTGTGGTGGAATAAGGAGAAATCAGCCTTCCTGCAGTGCAACCTGCTGAAGTGGGAATAACATTCAGTCTGTACATACACTCCTAGCCCTGTAAGAAAGTGATCTAAGGTCACAGAGCTCTACAAGCTGCCTTTGTTTATTTTTGTTTCTTTTATATTTTTAAATCCTTTTTGTTTTCAGTCTTTTTTTTTTTCTTCTCCTTTTTCTTTACTTTGCTTTTACCTGGAAGTTTCTTTTTCCTTTTCTTTTTCCTTTTTCTTTTATTTTCTTCTGCTATTTTCTTTTTTTTTTTTTTCCTCTTTATTTTTCTCTTTTTTTCTTTATTGTTCCTCTTCTTCTCTTTTCTTTTTTTCATTTCACTTTTCCTTTCCGTACCTGAGAAAGCTCCCTTCCCCCTCCCCCCTCCTCCCTTCCCCCCTCCCCCCATCTCCCCCGACCCCCCGAGCAGCACGCAGTCCCCCCAGCCCCCTCAGCGCCGCCGTGAGCCGCCGGCCGGGTTGCCCCGTTGGCCATGCGGGGGCGCCGCGTCGCAGCCGCGCCTCTTCTCTAAGCATTACGGTAGGAGGGCCGGGGCGCGCCTCTTCCACCTGCCAGCGGGCTTTAAAGTTGCAGCCGGCCGGGACGCGCGATGATTCGGATCCCGCAGCCCAGGGCGGGCGGGCAGCCGCCAGGGCGTACCGCGGTTCCGCTGCGGGGACGGGGCGCGTCCCACCCCGTAACTTCGGGGGAGGTTTTTCCCCTCGCTCCCCCTCGCTAGATTTTTTGGTGGCAAAAGAGGGCCGGGGGCAGGAGGGGGGGGCGTTGCGCCGAGGGGAGCCTCATGTCTGCGGCAGGTCACCCGCGCGGCTCGGGCGCCGGCCCCGGCGCTGCCGCGGATTACCGCGCCTCCGCGCCCGTGGAGCGGCCGGGCGGCCGCGGGTAACGCTAACGCCGTCTGGCGCCGCAGCCCCTCCGAGGCGAGCCATGGAGCCCGGCGCGGCCCCCGACCTCCGCGACGTCGAGCAGAAGCTGGGGCGCAAAGTGCCCGAGAGCCTGGCGCGGCCGCTGCGCGGGGAGGAGCACCCGGGTCGCGCAGCCGCCGCCGCCGAGCCTACTCGCGGCCCCGCTGCGGCCCCCAGCCGGCGCCGCGCCGCCGCCCTCGCGCGTCTGGAGACCAAACTTCGCCTCCTGAGGCAGGAGATGGTGAGTAGCCGGGCGCCGAGGGAGCTCCGAAGAGGCGCTCGCAGCGCTACGCAAGGCGGCGCCCCCAGGCCCCGCTCTCCTGGGCCGGCCCGCTCGGCGCGGGGAGCGCCCCCGTACTGCGGGCGGGAGCGCCAGGAGCGGCTGCGCGGCGCCCCGGGCCCTGACCTCGCCGTGGCCCGGTGCGGCCGGGGGACAGCGGGGAGACCGCCTGCGTGTGAGGCGGCTGAGCTGGCCGGCCCCAGGGCGAGAGGTTCTGCAGGCTTCTTGCAGAGTGACAGCTGGATGGGTCGCTGCCACCTGCCCTTCTTCTGACGTCTAGTTAAAAGCCCTGAGTGTTGGTGTATCAATAAACAAAATAACACCTTCATCTCTCTGTTCTAAATGTATTCTCTACATCGCAGCTGTTTCCTGGTGACTTCTCGTAACTGAAGAGACTCTGGAGGTCATGGAATTGGAAGCTCAGATATTCCAGTTCTGGGCAGTGTTTTTCAGAGGTTTATTTAGTTCCAGACAGTAATCCTTCATCAAATGCCTATTTGTAACATGACTGGGAAATTTATTTGTGGCTACTTATTTCAGAACTTCTCTCGTACTTACTGTCTTAAAACAGAAGCTTACCTGCCTCTTTAAGAAAATTTTCAGCGGTGCCACAAAACTGCCTCGTTAAGGCAAAACAAAAGGAACCACTGCACTCTTTGCAAGCAAAAAAGCAAGTCAGCAAATACTGAGTTGTTAGCGGGTACTATTCTGACAGTAGGGAGTTCTACACACTCAAGCCCATTCTGCTTCGTTTTGGGTTTTTTATTTTTTATTTTTCAGATAACAATCATTATTTGAGATCTCCAACAACTTTTTTAGCTAGTGGTTCTTCTCATGGTTCTTACCGCATTGCTTACTTGATCAAAATCTATACAATTTCCTTGTTGGGATGAAGATTTTGCTGGCAACTTACTGAGGTGACTTGATGCAAGCACTAAATGTGTAAGCACAATGCTGGTGAAGGAAGGAGAGTTTTTAAAGAATAACTGGCAAAGAGGAAAGAGAAATCAAGAGTGGATATCCCAGGTGTTAATAGCCAAGATTGTGACCTCAATCTTGAGTCACTTATATCCCACTTAGTGTCTTGTGGCTTCATAGGTTTTAAGAAATGCTTGCAGAGCTATCATTGCGTTTTAGTGCAACAATCACTGTAAATTTGTTGTTAACACAGTTCAAACACTGTCAGCATCCTTCTTGTCAATTATCAAAATTTTTAACTTGCATCAGGGTTTAGAGTGTGTATAGGTTATAGTATAAAACTCTTAGGGGAATTGAGCTGCAAAGGAAGCAAATAAGGCAGTCAGTTTTCAGCGTGACTGCTGAGACCTGTAATGACAGGCCTATTAAGGGATAAAAATCAAGTGACTTGAGTTCATTGTGTTTTCCTTATAAGTTGATCTCTTCTTCTACATTACATGTGAAGTTTCATGTCACAATGTTCAATTTGCTGATTTTCTATTTTTCACCTTTTTCTCTCAGCTCTCAGAGTGAAGTGAACATGTTTTAGACTCAGCATCCTTGACCTCTCCTGTTCTCTCTCATTTTAATGTCTGACTTACTGTTTTTTGCATGTAAACAGGAAAGTGTTCAGGTAGATTTTTACTATCTCCAGAGGAGACTCCCCGACCTCTCTGGGCAAGTTAATGCAGTGCTCTGTCATCCTCAAAGTATAGAATTTTTTCTCCTGCTTGTATGGAACGTCTGTGTTCCAGTTTGTTTCCATTGCCCCTTATTCTGTTGCTGCACACTGCAGAAATGAGCATAGTCCCATCCACTTGACTTCTGCCTTTTAGATATTCATAAGCATTGATAAGATCTCCCCATTTCTTCATAAAGAAGATGCTCCAGGCCCCTAGTAATCTCAATAGCACTGTGCTGGAAACTCCCTAAGAGTTCCCAGAACTGAGCAGAATACTCCAAGCCTCACCAATACTCCAACGCTCGTCTGACCTCACCAGGACAGAGAGGAGGGGAAGGACCATGTTCCTCGACCAGCTAGCCACGCTCATTTTTATGCATTATAGAATACCATTGGCCTTCTTGACCACAAGGGCAGACTGCTGGCTCAGGGCCAACCTGTTGTCCACCAGAACACCTATGTCCCTTGCCACAGAGCTCTGTTCCAGCAGGTCATCCCTAACCAGTACTGACACATGTGGTTATTCCTCCACAGGTGCACGGCTCTGCACTTACCCGTGTTGAATCTTATAAGGTTCCTCTCTGCCCAACTTTCCAGTCTATCCAGACTTCACTGAAAGGCAGCACATCCTTCTGGTGCCTCAGACACTTCTCCCAGCTTTGTATTATCTGCAAACTTGCTGAGCGTGCGCTCTTTCCGTTCATCCAGGCCACTGATGATGTTTCAGTACTGACTCCTGGGGAATTGCTAGCTACAGCCTTCAACTAGACTATGCCCGCTAATCACAACCCTCCAAGCTCTTCAGTCAGTGAGTTCTCAATCCACTGTTCTCAATCCAGAATCCACAATCACTGTTCACTTGTCTATCCTACACTTCTTAAACTTTCCTATGAGGAAGTTACGGGTGAAGTGTCATAGGCCTTGCTAAAGCAAGGTAGCCAACATCCACTGCTCTTTCCTCATCTATCCAGCTTGTCATGGCATCATAGTAGGCTACCAGGTTGATCAACAATGATTTCCCTTTGGTGAATCCATGTTGGCTACTCCCGATAACCTTCTTCTCTTCCATTTGCTTGATGATGACATCCAAAATAAGCTGTTACATCATCTTCCCAGAGGTGGAGGTGAAGCTGATAGGGCTGTACTTTCCTGTCCTCTCCTTCTTGCTCTTTTTCAGGACTGTAGTGACATTGGCTTCCCTTCAGGTCTCAGACACTTCTCCCACTCTGCATGACCTTTCAAAGATGATAATGAGTGGTCACTTCAGCACTTGTGTGCATCTCATTGAGGCCCATGGATTTGTGCAGCAAGTTTACCTAGATGGTCTCTGACAGATCCTCCTCAACTGGTGGGAAGTCTTCTTTTCTCATCAAGGAATATGGTCCTCCCCCTCCTCTTTGTCCTGGTGAGGTCAGATGAGCGTTGGAGTATTGGTGAGGCTTGGAGTATCCTGCTCAGTTCTGGGAACTTCTAGGGAGTTTCCAGCACAGTGCTACTGAGATTACTAGGGGCCTGGAGCATCTTCTTTATGAAGAAATGGGGAGATCTTATCAAGTCTTCTTTTATTCTTCTCTCTCTTACCTGCAGGATCTAGAATTGCTGAGGGGCAGCGTTAGCACTGAAGACTGAATCAAAGAAGGCATTCAGTAATTCTGACTTCCCAGTGTCCTCCACTACCAGGGCACTCACCTCATTCAGCAGTGGGCGTACATTTTCCCTAGCCTTCCTTTTGCTACTGACATACTTAAAGAAGTCTTTCTTGTTTTCCTCAACGTCCCTCATCAGATTTAATTCCAAGTGGGAAGGCCTTAGCCTTCCTTGTGTCACTGTGTATTCCTGCATGCTCTGATAGTGTTCATATATTCCTCTCATGTAGCCAGACCCTTTTATCACATTCAGTAGACTTTCTTCTTCCATTTGAGTTTTCCCATGAGCTTCTTTACTCATTGATGCAGGTCTTTTGCCACCTTCACTTGATTCACTTAGGGATGCACCAGTTTTGAATTTGGAGGAAGTGGTGCTTGGATGTCAACCAAATCTCTTGAGTCCCCTTCCAATGCTCTAACCCATGAGATACTTCCAAGTGGGACCTTGAAGAAGTCAGAGTTGGCTCTCCTGAAGTCCAAGGTTTCAATCTTACTTATTGCCTTATTTCTTAAATCAAAAGAATTCTGTTACACATCTCTCCATTTGAATTTTATTCTGTGTATGCCCATTAAGCTTTATAATGACTATTCTTTCTATAAGGTAAGGTATAGATACTCTAAATATTTTTTGTGTCATCATCTGTTTTCTGTAATCCAGAATTTGGAATTGAACTATTTTCTTGTGGCTATCCTCTAGTTTCTTTAGTAACGTAGTCTCCTCTATCTGTAGGATTTCTTCAGGTTCATAACCTGAACCTGGGTACCTTCTGAGTTTTTCTTGTGACTTTGTAAAGGCATGATCAATTTAAAAGCAATATATGGTAAAAATAACTGTTTCTGTATCTGTTTCTTTTTTTCTGAACATCATTTCTGAAACAACTAGAAGTACTATCTATCTTCTCAGTATTTCTTGTCAAAACCTACCATATTATTCTTTGGCTCTCATGAGTACCTGAGAGGCCTTGAATGGGTAGAAAACTAGGTAGTATCTGCTGCAGTAGTAAGCATGCAAAAAACTGAAAAAATTAGAAGCTGAGAAAATCAAGAGACATCTATCATGCTACCTTTTCATAGTTGCTCTGCAGTATCCGCTTCTGCAGCACAGATTTTCAGATATATACATGCACGGTTTATTCTGCTTACTTGACTCAGGCTTTAGACATTTTTTTTTAATAGGCATTTGCTAACCAGTGTTTTTCAGATTTGTTCATATTCTTACTCATGTTTAAGATTATTTGTATAGTCAGATATGGAAAACTTGAGACTAACTGGTGTGCTGACATCTTCATCTTTAAAGTTGGCCAATCTATGTTGACAAATTTCAACGACATCTGAGAAACAAAGCAATTTTATAATCAGCACATGAGTAAAATTTGATCTTTTATTGCATTTAAATGCATGATGATTCCAAAGCTTTTCATTGTGCTAAGAATGTATTTTATTGTTAACTATTTTTTATCATCTCATTTCTACCCAGAGCATCCACAAAGTACCTGTAGAAAGCACACACACCTGTGTTTTCTACAGGTACCTATTGTTTGTCCCCTGACAGTAAAGAACAAGGAAAACACACCTGAACCTGGCTGTGATGCTTAGGAGTGGACTTTAAGGCTAATCTCAGGATGTATGTATCTTTTCAGTGGCCAGTGTAAATTCATCTGTACAGACATGGAAAT